AGAGAGAGAGAGAGAGAGAGAGAGAAACAAAGGGAGAAAGAGAAAGAGAGAAAGTAAAAGAGAAAGACATTAAAAGAGAGAGAGAGAGGAAGAGAGAGAGAGAGAGGAGTGGGGGAGTGTATTGACTATAACATGGTGTGTTCCATTCCCAAAGCAGTCTCCTAACGAGGTGAACTACAGTCATTAAATACTTCATTAGGAGGTTTTGGCCTTACACTCTTTTTTTCTCTTTTTGTATTTGTGTGTACATGTGTACTTGCCAGAATGTTACCTGGTCCTCAGAAAAGAGACAGTTGACTAAGTACACATGGCTCCTTCGTGCAAACTCAGGTCTTCAGTTGTGCTCAATGCCCCACCTGCTCTTGAGTAGCAGAGCCTCCCCAACAACTGAGAGGGTCTAATGGGGGTGGATCCCACCCCTTACCTGGACTTTTCCAAAGCTTTGTGTGTGTGTATGTGTGCGTGCTCTTTGTATTGTGTAGCTTTTCCGATTGAACCAGATTAATAACTTGACCAACTGGTGCCCCGTGAGATTAATATTATATCGCTAAGCTTGTCCTGTAAATCCTTTATCCGTTCAGCTGGATGTCTTTAACTTCCAGGCTATGAATGAGGAGTGATAATGAATACTCCACTCGTATGAAAAGCATTCTAATTATTTACACACACACACACACACACACGGCTGAGAGTAATTTACCTTCTGGTTTTTCTTTCCTGGGATTGCAGACTGTTGAATAGGAAATTTTCATGAAGGTATGAATGTGGTTCCGTAGTCACTAATTCATGGTTGGGTTGATCTGCATGAACCAAGAGAAGCTGCCAAGAACCTTCAACCCAGATACCGTCCTGTATGCCTGAAAGATTTTGGCAGGATTTGACGCTGCTTTCGCCCGATGATTTCTTCCTTCGTGGCATCTGGAAACCACGATTGTGGGTTTGTGACGAACTCCTTGTTTTCACCCAGCTTGTGAATAAAGTTTGATGTTGGCCTGTTTTTGGAGCCCACCGGAGTTGGCTGCAAACTCACAATCTCAGATCTGTCCAAAAGTTGGAGAAAACGGAATTCAACGCTGCCCGGATGATCCTGGCTGTATAGAGGAGAAAGGAGAATGTAGCATGTTAATTGCAAGGCTGACACCCATTTCTCGCTGCTTGTATCTCTTGCATTAAACCCTGGTTTAATGGGATGTGCAGATAATTCTGGCAGGCTGAATGTGGGAAGAGCATGCTTCTTAGCAACCTGGGGAAGCGGGCAACGCTCACACCTCGCAGTTGATCAATCCACTAGATCACATGCTTTGAGGGCCATCTTAATAACGATCTCGAGTTCATTGCTCACTCTGAGATAGGCAGCTTTCGATGGAGCTCCCAAGAAATGAAGGACACGAATCCGCTTCTCTATATTTCCACAGCATGTATTGATACTGTTGATTTTCTGACTTTCCCGAACCCTCTTTTTCAAAGTGGGCTCGGGAGTACAGTGGCCCTTGAGTTATGACTGTAAAGGAGCCCAGAATTTCTCTCCTACGTCACGATAGTCGTAAGTTGAAGTGTTGTGGCTTGTTGGCCACCAGCTCCTCCAGCAGCCAAATCAGAGGACGTGGCATGGGAGTCAGGAAGAGGGAATGGATTTGGGAGAGAGAGAGAGAGAGGGAGGGAGGGGGGGGGGGGAGAGAGAGGGGGGGGGGGAGGGAGCCCAGACTGTCCGTCAGCCCTCAGATGGAGAGTCAACAGCCCTCAAGTCACGAGGGTCAGCATCGGGGCAACCTGGGAGCTCTGACGGGAAGGGGGAATGGAGGTGGCAGAGAGAGAGAGAGAGAGAGAGAGGTGGAGCCTAGGCGGTCCGTCAGTACTCAGATGGAGAGTCAAGAGCCCCCAAGTCTGGAGGTGGCTGATGAGTAAGAGGAGGAACAGCTGGGTCCAGTGCCTGATGCGCAGATACACAGAAAGCAGAGGAGAGGAGGGCAGTGGAAATCTATGGGCCGGTCCTTTGAACAGAAGAGCCACTGCTGCTAGCAAAGTCCCACCCTAGCTCTGGGGATAAAAGGCAAAGGATGGAAATGAATAGATGTGGCAGACAACTATTCAACTTCCTGCCGGACAGACTTATTAGCCTGCAGCGAGAGAGCAACTTTTAGCCGGTGCTACCAGCGCTCCTAATAAAAGAATCTTTGAGGGTTAAACTTCAGAGGGTTTGTCGTGTTTGGGCAGCTGGGTCAGAACATATAGTATCTACATGACTGGATCCATTTTTATAACCTTTCGCACAGCAGTCCCAGTTTTGGCTCTGTTGTAACTCCAAATGGTCCCTACGTGACTGGACGTTCAGCCTCTCTGTCCCACACCAGAGGACACTAAACCTGAAAGTGGGCGGGGCAGGCACGTCCAGTCCGATGCACATCATTTATTTTTTGCCCTTTTCCCCCTCCAGTGAAACCCGTGGCCCCCAAATGCCGGGTGCCCCCTTCTGTCCCCGTGGGGAAATCAGCCACCCTCTACTGCCAGGAAAAGGAAGGCTTCCCAGAGCCGACCTACAGCTGGTACCGTAACGATGAAACGTTGCCCCTCGATTCCAAAGCCAGCACTAAGTTCCAGAATTCTTCCTTTACAGTGAACCCCAAAACCGGCATGTTGGTAAGTCTCTAGGCTGAGGACAAGGAGAAGCGGGGGGTGGGGGGTGGGATGTCCTTACTTGGAGAAAGATTTGGAAGAGAGGATAATTCCGCTGGTTTTATATTTTATAATTATGTTATAAAATGATAATTATAAGAGATTTTATAATTCAGACTTTACCATTTAGCTGGGCTTTCTCCTATTCAGGGTAGAGGGTATTCATGGTTTTTTTTTTATTAGTTTTTGTTAATGTGGGCTCCTTGGTGTTCTCTGAGGTTGGTGGTTTTCTTGCAGACGTTTCATTGCCCAACTAGGTGGTATCATCAGTGCTAGAAGGGACTAGGGCAGGGGTGGGCAAACTTTTTGGCTTGGGGGCCTCATTGACTTTTAAAATTTGACAGACAGGCCGCCACCTGGTGTCGAAATGCCTGTCATTGCAAGTCAAAATCAAATGAATGCAATCATTCAATCATTCACATCAAACCTTAGTCCTGTACCAATCTTCGGCGGGCCGGATTAAAAAGACCAATGGGCCGGATATGGCCCCCGGGGCATAGTTTGCCCACCCCTGGACTAGGGTGTGTGGACAGGAGGAGGAGGAGGAGAATGACTGTGGGGTCCTTGGTGTTCTCTGAGTTTGGCTGTTTTCTTGCAGACATTTCATTGCCCAACTAGGTAACGACATCGGCGCTGGAAAGGAGTGGGGTGTGTGGACAGGAAGAGGAGAAAGACTGTGGGGTCCTTGGTGTTCTCTGACTGTGTTGTTTTCTTGCAAATGTTTCATTGTCCGGATAGGTAGCATCTTCCACGCTAGAAGGGAGTGGGGTTTGCTCTCTGTGTATGTACTTGCCCTGCCCAACCAAGGATCTATCAAGAATACTCCCACCAACGCTGACAGGGCAAACCACTAGTATGTAAAAAGACAGCAAATCCATCGCCTTCTAGCACTGATGGTGTAACCTAGTTGGGTCATGAAACGTCATCCAGAAAACAAGAGAGCACCAAGGATCCCATCGCCATTGTTGTCCTCTTCCTCCTCTTCCTCCTCCTCCTCTTCTTCCTTCCTTCCTTCCTTCCTTCCTTCCTTCCTTCCTTCCTTCCTTCCTTCCTTCCTTCCTTCCTTCCTTCCTTCCTTCCTCCCTCCCTCCCTCCCTCCCTTCCTTCCTTCCTTCTTTCCTCCTTTCTCCTCCTCCTCCTTCCTCCTCCTTCTTCCTCCTCCTTCTCCTCCTCCCCTTCCTTCCTTCCTTCTTTCCTTCTTCCTCCTCCTTCCTCCTCCTCCCTCCTCCTCCTCCCTTCCTTCCTTCCTTCCTTTCTTCCTTCCTTCTTCATCCTCCTTCCTCCTGTTCTCCTCCTCCTTCCTCCTCCTTCCTCCCCTCCCTCCCTTCCTTCCTTCCTTCCTTCCTTCCTTCCTTCC